AAGTATGTTTGTTATATTTTCCAAAGTAGTTACTTTAAAAGGAAAATGAGCGTTATACAGGGAAAGTATATATGTTTGTACAGAAATGCTGAAAGCCTTCCCTGCCAGCGTTGGTAAAATCAGAGTACGTTCTGAGACTTAGCCGGGTAAGACTGCGAGGCTCAAGGAGCTCTGTCAGGATAAGGCACCCCTGCTATCATACGAGCGAGTGGATTGCTTGGTTTGTGAATTAACTCAGCTGCAGTCACCTTCCATGTGGGTCAGTTTGGGTTCGGCAGCAGTATGGCGGGGCAGTATGGGTACTGACTGACTCCACTGGATGCCAGCTCGTGGATCTCTGCTCTGTAGTAAACATTGCTACTTGATCTTTCTTTTCTTTTAAGATACTATCTTTCTTTCCTTCTCTACTGTAATTTATTATAGGCTTCTCAGGGTTGACTGTACACAGAATCTAACAGTCTACCTGTCACTTCTGAAGACTGTTGTCATCTTCTGAAGTCTTCATTGACATAGCACAGTGAATATAGACTTCCGCTTGGAGACTGTATGCCTGTCTGTCTTCCACCTCGATACCATATCTATCTAGTGTGTGCATGTTTTGTGTATAAATAAGAGGCTAAACTGTATGATATGCTTAAGGGCACACTGTATGTGTATGAGAATCTGAGGCATTTAAGTGCCTAATAATAATTTCAGAAGCAGTAGTTAAACAAAAGAATTCTCTGAGGATCTTGGGGTATTTGAGGTTGAAGTATAGCTTAGACATTGATAATGAAAAGAAGTCATTAAAAAAAAAATTGAGTGCTTTATCTGAGCTCCCTATTTCATGACATGAAACAAGCTCTTACTAATAGCAGTTTATTACATAACTGCATTCCTCTTTTTTTTTAAACAGACAGTATTGCCCAGTGTAGGAGACAGAATTGTGGTTTTAATTGGGCATCAGTATGGTCAGTGGTGTGTATTTCACTTGAAATTGTTTCAATTTGGGAAGTGTTTCCCCAGAGACTTCATGTAGGTGGCACTTGTAGTTGGTAACTAGCATTTTGAGCCTTGTGACTAATAATCCTACTCTGATAAAGATTAGAAAACAAGTAACTTAAAATGGTAGTGGTCAGTGGCATTTGGTCTCCTTCAGGTCTTTTTATTGCTAGCCCAAGTAGAGCTGAGTTACTGTGAGGAGTACTGGCTGTGTGTTCACAAAACCGCTGTTGTCTGTGCACGGTTGGCTTTGTTAGGATTTACTGCTTGTGTCTCTTCAGTGTTTGTATTCGGTGAGCAGTTGCAAGTGCTTACATTTAAAGAATTATGTTTCAAGATACCATTTAAGGTTTTTTCTTAATCTGCATGTTATATTGTACATGAGAAATACAAGGAAATCACTGGAGATTTAGGAGGATGAGAGGTTAGAGTCAATCACTTGAGCTTCAATTTAGTAATGCAAATCTGGCTTTAAGTGACCTTATTGATGTTTGCTCTAAGTAGCTTCCTCTTGGTACAAATGACTGAGCTTTGTTGTAGCTATTGTACAGGTAATGTACTGTCCCTTTAGAGATTGCCTTTGTATCCCTGATGCAACCTCTCTTTGCTTTAACAGCGAGTGCCTGCAGAAACGCCTGGAGCTAAGATAGATTGCATCGGTGTGCCTCATTTGATCATCTGTCAGCAAGGAAGAGAGAGCATAGGGCTGGCAAAAAAACATGTGCCCATTGCTCTATCCCAGCTCTTGGAAATTTGAGGGTTTGGCTATTGGTGAATGATGTTCAAGCCGAGAGCTTGATGCCACAGAATGAAGGACGTGACAGCATTAGCTGAGAGGGTCCTGATCGCTTCTGTGACTTACACCTTAAAGAGTGGTGGCAAGCGACTGTTGCAAGTTTAGGGTGTGAGGGGGTAGCAGGATTTTGAGCAGTACTATTAGGGTGGTGCAAATAGTGCTAAGCACCCATGTCTTGAGGAGATAGTATTATATAATAAACAGTGCCATCTTCTGGGAGGAGTCGGAATGATGCCCTTGCGGTCAGCATTAAAGATGTTTTTAAAGTGTGTTTTTTTTGTTTGGGTTGGTTTTTTTCCCTCTCTATCTAATGAATGCTTTAAAAAACAAAATACCAGTAGTTGAAAGACAGTGTTAGTGTCTAGTAATGCAAGTCCACATCTGTGAATTATCACTGATCCGGTCTTTCAAGAAAAGTTTTAAACTATGTTTTGGAGTCTGTTTAAAAGAACAAAAGTTTATCAGCTGCTGAGCAGTACTCCAGAGAAGTAAATCTCAAAAATAAAAGTTAAGGACTTGGTCTGCTTTGTATGCTGATGTCCATTATTATTTTTGTAAACATACTTTGTAAAACTTAGATAATTGCAACATCTTCTCTCATAGGAAGCATAGTGACCTATAGGAAAATGTAAAAGATCCAAAGTAAGAACAATTACTTTGTCTGTCTTTTATTGCTTTTAAGTTGTTATAACTCCTTCTTTTGGGGATGTCAGAAGGGAAAAAATGTTTTCTGTCTTAAAATTATTATCCTATAAATAGTTACATTTGGGAAATATTCACTGTGGTGCAAAATCTGGGATTAGAGTTACTAAAATTATCCTAGCAAGTGGAATGTAAGATTCAGCATTTACTGAGACTCGTTAATGGTGTCAGATCAATCACCTGAACTCTTATTTGGAGGAAGTGAGCAATTTTAGCAACATTAATGGAACTATATGGGAGATGCAGCTGACATTGTGAGGAGGTTTTTTTGTTACACACTTTCAAATAAATAAATAAATAAATAAGTAAAGGAACCCAAGCAAAAAGCCAATAGCAAAGTATAACCATTATGGCAGGGGGGGAAGAGAAGAATCAAGGTGTTAAAAATGTTTATTGCTAAAATAAATTAGTTAAGGTATATCCAGAATGACAAGAATTTGCAAACTCTGGATAGGCAGATAGATTTGGAATTGTTTTTATTGCATCATGATTGTCTGGGTAATTTACCAGCAAAGGTGCAATGGAATAATAGTTTCTTAAGTAAGTAAATAAATAAATAAATAAATTCTTTTGCATGTAAATTGTAAGTCTATTCTGAGTATGTCATATTAAGCATGCTCTAATCAGCACATTTTGTATTCTAGAGAGTCTCATTTTAATGACTGTGGCGTCTGATGTTTCTGGATAGTACAGTACTTAACTGTACAATTAATTTGTAGTTAAAATGGTAATTGAATGTGTATTTACTTTTTGAATATTAGTGTTAGCTTGGTTTGTCACACAGTATTTAATATATAAAGAAAATGTCTAACTTTCAGTACATTCTGAATGTTTAACAACAACATAAATTGTTACTGTGTGTAATCTTTGTGTTTATGCAAGTCCTCAGTATTACAGTTAGGACTTCCGTTTCTGACATCTGAAAGTAATTTAGTATTGACCCATCTTACCATGTTGATTTTAAGTTGTTGATAAAAATCGGATGTTAAAGTTTCCATTGCAAGGGGTGGTGGTCCTTGAGTACCTCACACTAAGTACTATATTTGCTTAGATACAATTTAAAACTTTTTTTGTCTTGTAATTTAGTAAATTACTTCTCCATAGTTTGGGATTAAGTATGCATAACAATATTTTGCTGCAAACTAGCCTGAAAAAATAGTTCACTATATGTTTGGAACACTGCGTGTAGATAATCCTATTCTCTCTTAACTAGCTTAAGATGATGTTTCAGCGGTGCAGAGCTATAATGGACACAAAGTTATTTAATAGATTTTTTTTTTGGCTCTTGGTGGTGATTGCTATTCTTTGTGGCTTTTAATAGTGGTTTTTTGTAATCACTCGTGCTCTTGGAAGTCCTAGTTCAAACCATCTGTAAGAGTTTAAGACAGGTGAACAACTCTCTCTGAAATCAGACTTCAAGATTTTCAGAGCGGTTGGCACAGCAGGTTATTATCCAGGTTCCCATTAACTTGGAAAATGCTGGTCCAAATATCTGGAAAACATTGTGTGAATAGACAAGATAAGTTAAAATAAAAGAAAATTCTGTTTAGCAATGGAAGAATGCAATGCAGCTGACACTGAAGCTGCCCTCTTTTCCATCTGACTGAGAATTTCAGCAGTGGCATTCAATACAAGAAGCAAGGTGGTAACTTAACATTAAAGTAGACGCTGACCATCTCTCTTGGATTTCCTATATCATAATCTTGTTTTCTAGTTGATAGGATGTAGACTAAACAAATGGTAGTATTTCTGGAAAGACAGATCAGAAAATGTCTGGTCTTAAAACTGAAGTTTTACTAATGAGAAATATTTTTGTTAGTGACTGAAAAAGTGAGCTTTTTTACCGAATTCCACGTAATATTTATGCAAGCTGCAGGATACCAATGGAGTAGATAACTTCAGGGAAGTAATTTATATTGAAGCAAAAACAAGAATAATGTATACTGTGTAAATAGTAGTTATATCCTAATCGGAATACATCTACGAGGGCCGGAATTATGAATTCTGCATTATAGCAGTTGTTGATGTCCTGTTTGGAAAGCTACTCAAAGTTTGTTGTTTATTTTGTTTGCCCCCCCACCCCGAAGTAGTCACTGTCAACTACAGTGGAGCAAGTTACAATAAGTTGAAGTTGTTTAAAATTTGTGCTGTTTGTTCTTCCTCTAGCCCAATAATACATTTTTTTTAAAAGATCCCTTTAGGAGTACATGGAAACGTTTAGCAAAACTTGAGAAAAAATTTCCTTAAACAATTTCTATCAAAACAACTTACACTTAACCCTATTTTTATAATTGATGGTATGAGCCTTTTTCAAAAATCTTTTAAGATGTTTATCAACACCACGTCATGATAGACAACAGGCAACTTGCACTTAATTTTAAGGAAAAGTTGACAAAGCTTACTGGTTTTGTGACTAACAGTAAGCAGGTATTTTGCTTGGTTAAAACGTGAAGGCGTTTTATTCTAGGTCCCTTAGATCTTGTGCACTAGTGAACTTTTCTTCCTGTCTTTTCACACACAGGCAGAAGGAGAAGACAGCCTTAAAAAGATGCAGCTGATGGAGCTTGCAATTCTCAATGGCACCTACAGAGATGCCAACATCAAATCACGTAAGCATGTCATGAGCTTGAGGGTCAATGCCATAGAAATGTTCGCAGGTTTTGATTCCTAAAGCTACTGTTTGGCAAATGTACGGTAGCAACTATGTTGGAGAATGGAAGGCAGTAAAAAACGAACAGAACAGTAGGTAGCTGTTGCAAAAGACCTTCTGGAGAGAAGTTATGTCAGTTTGGGGGTTTTTTTGTTTGGGTTCTCCCCCCTCTTTTTTTTTTAAACAGTATGTCTGGGTTGAAATATTTACAAATATATAGTTTAAGAAAATTCAACCCTTAAGCCACATTTTTCTATTTTACAATCATTTTTTCCTTAATACATATAAAGGACAATGGACTCCTTTCAATTTTATTTTTAGAGATTTAATTTGAAAATGTTACAGATGTCCAGGATACTGTGAATACATTTTTCTGTATTATATTCCTTCCTTTCATCTTGCTTGCATGTGTCCCCCCAGTGTTATGTTTTTCCAACAATTCATCAACTGATTTCACAGCTGAGTTCACAGGGATCAGTGATGTAATGAGCCATTTTTATTATTTCTTCCATTACATTTGTGTGAGAATGCTTTTGCAAATGCATGTATGCACAGGTTTACACTTGAAAATTAATTACATACACCTACTAATGAGATCATATACCTATTATGTGTGATACAAATTATTTTCTCTAGTTGAAAAGGTAATTTCTCCTCCTGAAAATGTAGTTGCTGATACTGTTCCAAAGTAAATTTTCGCTGTAGCTGTGATACAGATGTCAAATGTAAGCACAGTTAAATCAGTCTTTTCACTAAGGGCCTACTGATATTTGCAAATTTGTTTCTCCACACAGTTACCATTTCAGTGTTGAATATGTTTAAAGGTTGGAATGCAGTTAGGTCAATTTGAGAGTGCTTACACCAGTGTAATTATTCTGATTTGAAAAGAGACATAAGCAAGGGCTTTTACCACTACAATGGTAGTGGTAAATCTTTCAGCCCTAATGAACACCGTGATATTTAAAGCTAGATCAGTTTTAAATATATTTTAGTCTTTAAATTATTGCAAATAATATGAATAAAATAGCTTTCAGATTAGCTTAAATTGATGCAAACTGTTGCATAGAAACCTTTACATTAATTTGAGCCATTTCTTTGTCTGATCTATTCCCATTGGTCTATTGTATCAGTGTAAGTGGGAACATGGATTTTTTTTCTCTTCATTTTTTTGACTAGAGATTTCCACACTAATATTCACTTTCTGGTACGAAGACAATTTCACTGTTTGTGTTTTGATTTTACTGAAAACTTGAGGATGTAGAAGCCATACTGGTTTATTTCCATTTAAGAAAGGAAATGAAAATGTTTGAGGGTTTTTTTTTCATTATACATTAAGTCTGAGCGCTTTTGTTTAAAAAATAAAAATAATTAAAAAACCACAATAGTCTCAAATCTGAAAACCTTCCCCCACATTTCTCTTTTCAGACCACCTGTAAGTTAATTAAATCAATGTAGATCAACAGTAGTGCATAGTAACCTATAAATTAAAACACTTTAAGATGGACTGTTACCAGCTGATGTGTTAGTGTTTAAGAAGTTGTTCATCTTGTGTGCCAACAGGCTTCAAATAACACTTAATGAAATGTGCTAGCACAGTTTAAGAAAAAAAAAAGCACCTATTTTCTTTAACTTAAGCAAGGCCATAGTGAACTTCGAATACAAAGGAAGTATTTTATTTTGGGAAATTTGATATAGAAATAGCTTTTGAGTCTATTTTGTTCATGCTAGAGTAGGAGAGGAGATGCATTGTGTTTCTAGGTCATCTTTAACTTCCCTGATCCTGGAAACTGGAATTGTGTATATGTTTAACTACAGTTTTAAGATGTATAAAAACTGTAGACTCATACGGCAGCTCTGCATAACTGAGTATCTGTGGACTCTATAGTTGCACTGAATTTTGTACTCTGTATTTGATTATGACAGTATTTTCCTTGTATCTCCTGCATGCATCTCAGTCTCATGCAGTCTTGATAGCATAAATGAAGAAATGTGGTCTAAATGGAGCTTTTGTGCTGTGTAACCTGTTTGAGAAATCTACCTCACTGTTTTACAATGGCTTTTTTATTTTGCATGTTCATACTTAATCACACTGGAAAATGGAAAGCTGTTTGCATTTGAATGGTGTGCTTTGGCACTGTGTGATCAGCGCATGTACTAATGATTTCCTTTTATTTTTCTTCTTTCCTACTTTTCCCCTTTTTCCCATTCTTTCCACGTTTTGTACTGCTATCTCCATACTTTCCTCTGAATTTCTTTGCTTACTGTAGCAGCCCTTGCCTTTTCTCTTGCAGCAACAGCCCAGGCTCCAAGGATTATTACTGGGCCTGCGCCTGTTCTCCCACCAGCTGCCCTGCGTACTCCTACGCCAGCTGGCCCTACCATAATGCCTTTGATCAGACAAATACAAACCGCTGTCATGCCAAACGGAACTCCTCATCCCACCGCTGCAATAGTTCCACCTGGACCCGAAGCTGGTTTAATTTACACACCATATGAATACCCCTACACGCTGGCACCAGCTACATCAATCCTTGAGTATCCTATTGAACCTAGTGGTGTATTAGGTAAGATCTTTTTACGCGGATGACTGGAGAATATATTGCTTATGCTTTTGTGATATTTGCAAGGTAGAGGTCATGGGGCTCAAAGAACAAAATTTGAAGCAACAGTCTTATCTCAGGTATATCAAAACTGCGTAGGAAAACTGCTCAAATGGTGTAAGTCTTAAAGATTTTAACGTTTTGCGTTATTAAATATGTGTGTTTAGTATAGTAATAAGATTACTGAAAATAAAATCTTAACGTTTGTTTGACACTAGATGGTGGATACATAGGCAAGGAAAAAAAACACAGATAAAAGTTGACATCTATTATATGTCATGTGGGCTCCCATAAATACCAGATTTGTTTGTGTTCTCTTCACCATAATTTAATTTCCAGTAATCTTTGGAAGAGAGAACTTCCTATTTTGCTATACCTTTTTAGTAGCAAAACTGGAGAGAATGGAAAGGTCTTTTTTCGGTTTGTTGGGGTTTTTGCTTCTTTATTTAGTACACAACTGATAAATCTCTCCTCAGTGTCAGAAAGCTGTAAATCATTTTGTAAGCAGGAAATAATTTCACTGAATGAATATAAAGCAAACTAAGTTCTGACCAAAGGATGATACAATTAGCAACTTTACTGATGTCTTCTTTTATATACATTGGATTGAAATGTCCATCATTCCTAATGTTTCAGACCATTGACTTGCTGTGTGAAGGCGAGAATGATAAAGCAGCCGTGACAATTCAGTTAACTGGTCAATATGGAACAAACAGTTCCAATAGTTTCTTCCTTCCCTACCCTCTACAGAATCTAAATAATGTTTTCTTTTCAGCTTGTTCTGAATTGCATATGACCTTGGTGCTGCATAATGTTGATTTTATAGGACTTTGATCTTAGTTTGTTCAGTGGCAGTTATTGATTTACACAAATTCTAAACATCTCTAATGAACACTGGACAATAAGGTTCAAAGTCAATATTTTGTTGAAAGTATTGCAAAAAATCAGTGTTTCACTTACATGACAAATACTTGTTGAGTTATCTGTATGTGTGCATGTTCCCATGTTATATTTTATACAGTAAAAAAGAAAAAGTATTTCAGACTTCTGCCTTTCAGGATTAGTGAATCAATAATAAAAATTTTCGTAGGACAAAAGTATGCAGTAGGTCTGTCTTTGAGCAGCTTATGGTTGTTGTCCATTACCCCATAGCCAAAACTCGGTGAGCATATGATAATGTCATCATTTATTCATTTCCCACAAACGTGTAAATGTTCTCCCCAGCTCTTCCACCCCCAATCTGCGAGTCCACTTGCAGTACATCCTGGGGTAAAGTCACAGTTACAGGCATCGTCACAGTAGCTATCAGTTGCTGGTTAGTGGCAAACCCCTCTCCTGAGTTCAGTTAATAGCAGGTTAAAAAAATACATCATTCCATAGTAATAATTTAATATGCTGCAGGGAACTTTGATTTCTCGCAGGATTTTCTAGAGAGAGAGAGGAGGGGAAAATTACTCCTAAAATGGCATCGGAAACAATTGCATACTTTTGAGCTTAGCTGTGAGAGCACAGGTGTATTGCCCAAAACAGATCTCACCAAATAATCTCATTTAAAAAAGGAAAGGGGGGGAACACACCCCCACTTAGGTAGCATAGAATAAATAACTCTTAATACATCTACTCTATTATCTGAGCAATTGTATAGAGTTAATTGAATTAAGTTAGGGTTTTGTTGAGTTTTATTTCGTAACACACTCATTCTCATTAATAGTACGCTATATTTTGTCCATTTTTGTGGTGGACCTTTAAGATGTCTTAAAACAATTCTGTTAAAAATGGCAGAGAAATGCATCCCTATTAGTATTTTTGGGGATATTGGTGTTGGGATCAAATTTTAGTTGGTGACTAACTTTTAATTCCCTTCCTTTTATCTTCAGGTATGGCTTTCCCAACGAAAGGCTAAGAATTCAAGAACGGTCTTAACTGATCCTTCATCAGATCTGAATTTTAACAAATGCTTAGTTTCAGCAGCCTTGAAAAAAGCTTGGCCTAGCAGTCAGTGACTTACTTGCACTTTTTTGCACATAGATTTAAAATAAAATAGTGCTATTAATTTGGATTAGCTCCTATTATTACAGAGTAGCTGTAATTTATGAGTGTATAGTAGTATACTGACTGCTAAGTGTTCTATATAGTGTTTGCTTTACTAATCACCTAATTCATTGCAGTTCATACTTATTGACTTAAAAATTAAAATCACAATCTGTAGGCTTGAAGAATTGCTTTAAAACTTTTGTGGTAGAACTGGAAGTGATCTTAAGGTTAGCAAATAATTGTCAGTATTAAAAGATGGCATTATTTAAAATAGTCCTGCTGCAAGAAAGGCACTTCAGTGAATATGTGACTAGTAAAGCTTAAATGTGCTTGGGTCTAATAGATTTCATGAAATACTGTAATTTTGGGATTGTAAATGAATGGATTAAACAGGTTAAGGCCAGGATGTTTAAAATAAATGCAATATTAATCTGCACAGTTAAACTTCTTTTTAAGATTAAGATTTGAAACTACTGTGCCTTAACTTGTTGCTTTTCTTAAAATGAACTTTTGTAGTTAATGATCATTTAAATCCATTTTGATAAACCTGCTGTTAATGTTTTCTTTGAATGTTTTCTAACTTTGTCTTGGTAATTGCAATTTAACTAGGTGCGGTGGCTACTAAAGTTCGAAGGCACGATATGCGTGTCCATCCTTACCAAAGGATTGTGACCGCAGACCGAGGTTAGTTTAGTTCTGCAGTTCTTGTTTGTAAGAAGTGCTTTGGGTGTACATGAGATTTGCAACACCACAGCTGGTTAACCAAATACCATATTTTGACCCATTCATCATTTTTCTCAAAAATCTGAATAGTTAATATTTTAGAGCTTTGGGAATGCTTGCCGTTTTAAAAACATTTTTTAAACTTGGCTTTCCCAGCTCAATTAAATATAAAACTTTGTGATCTATTTAATATAAAAGCTATAACTGATTCCCTTTTAAAAACTATTTAAAGCTCCATCTGCATCATGAAACACTATGAATTCAGTGCTGCAATAACTAATTTGGTCATGTTCTCCCCCCTTCTCCCCCCAATTTGTTCTTTTAATTGGTCTGGAAATATCAGATTGGTGTTGCAAAATAAAGTGAATGGATGGTTGCTTAATGAAAAAGAAGTAAAGGAATAAATGCCTCCTGTCTGTGTCTGGAGAAATCTGAAGATTTAGATTCCTTTTTTTCCAATAAACTTTTGAGCCACTGTACTGTATATTATGAGGAGGATGCATGTTCTCAGATACCTGACTGAATTCAGAAAGGTAAGGGCTGTGAAGATAATACTTCAAAAGTTGTTTGAGTTTGAATTACTAAGGGTAGGGGAAGGGAGGGTGTTTTGGTTTTTTGCCAAAATCTATTTCTTGGTATTTGCCTTTTGCTGCTAAAATGTGTAACCTGAAGGACAAGCAACTTTTGAAGTCCTGTTGGTGAGATGACATCCAATATTTGAGCATCTCTCTTTAACCCTTGAATGGAAAGTAAATCTTCATTTTTCTCCTGTTCCTCAAGTGTAATGCCTTTGGACCCCTGAATGAAGTATTTAAGCTTATTGAGAAAAGTGATATTTTCGGTTTATTGACATTGGCTAGGAAGCAGTGTGTGGGCTGAATTCTTATCCCATCCCTGCTGCTGACTCACTGTGGGTTTCGGCAAGTCATTTAATCTCTCTGTGTATGTTTTCCCATCTGTAAAATAAGGATAATAATACTTCCCTACCTCACAGGGGTGTTGTGGGGGTTCTTGTTTTGTACAGGGCTTTGAGGATGCAAAGCATTATGTGCCAAGTATTATTATTCTGCTCTCATCAAAATCAGTGTTCTGCAGGCTTCCATGATATTGTAATATTCAAAAGTCAAATTCAGGTGACAGATCTGACATCTCCCAACATTGACTACACTTCACTTCTCACAACCTGCCATAAATTAACTGCAAGAAACAATACAGATTTCAGTCAATACAGTAAAAAGGGCCCTCCTGTATATTTGCTATATTTATGCAATACTTTTGTCTTTCATATGTAAGGATCTTATGCTTTACAGAAAGTGTAAAGCTGATAACAAGACACTACTTAAGTTTTCTAGAAGATTGCTTCTTCTTTTGTATCACCGCACACTATTTACAGGCCATTGGCTTGTTCTCCTTTCTTGAGAATTCTTCAATGGGCAACAGGGAATAATCAGAAAAAGGTCATAGCCCATATTTACCAAAAAAAAAGACAGAGGGGAAAAAAGGAAATAGAAAAAAGATTAAAACCTATCTCTGTCAAGAGTAATGAGCGGTAAGGATTTGGTTATCTTTGAAAGTTTGACCTGATGTTGCAAAAATCAGTTTTTGCTAATGGTCTTTCATGATCTGCAGTGGTAGTTTCAGGTGTCAGGTGAGACTACCTTTTTGTTTAATTAGGTATTTGCCTGAGACAACTAGTAAATACACTGATAAATGCGGGAATACCAATTTGTAGTTTAAGTTCATCATTGTAGTGTTTACTCAACATAGATTTTAAATGTTTTGGAAGGGCCTAGGTGTTTCATCTGGGTCACTTATGAGTAATTAAAATTAATAATTGGTATAATTTCACCTTACTTTAAAATACAGCCATTTTCTGATAATTCAGTGTTCATATCTAGCCATATTGGAAGGCCACTGTCTTAAGTAAATAAATACACAGAACTTATATCCTGTGGAATAAGTCATGCATACCTCTCTCTTTTAGCATGAAAACCATGCTGATATTTCAGGAGAACATTATTTTAAAGTCTTATGTAAATAATCCCAGTGTGTGTTACGAAACTTACACAAAGTTAATCTTACAACTGTACTTTATTGTGTTTTGAATTTGAAATTCTAGATTATCACTGCACAGATTTAACAGTTTCACAAAAGGTTTTGAACAGACCTTTGTTCAGCAATAAAACAGTTTCTTTTAATGTGTTGAAATTATGTTGTAGAATTAAAATACTATCAGTATTTACCATATTCACCTATTTGGTTGTTCTGTCACCAATATATTTCTATAGCTATAGCCATGAAAAACAATGTCAGCAAACCGAAATACTTTTTTTCAATGCGGAAACTTTTTTTTATATAGTTAGATGTCACTAAATCTATATCTGCATTCATTGGGTCTAAAGTTTTTTTTTTAAATTCTAAATCGACTTTCAGATGACTTTGTAGTACTACTGCATTCACTTTTTAAGTAGGTTTTTATTCTTTGCATAGTTTTTTTTTTTTTTAGGGATAAGCACTGCATTTAAAGCAAGAATCCCCAAATGTGTAAATGTTTTACTCTTATAACTAAGCATTTAGAATTGGTGAAGGGTTGAAAAATATAGCTCATTTTAACTCAGAATAAAACCCCAGTTTATAAATAATACAAAATTGAATTTGATGCATATAACAGAGAGACTGACTGATTTAATTGTAATAAACTGTAAATGGTGTTGCACAGTTGACAAACCTGTGTGTACTGTAGAAGGCCAGAGACTTGGCAGAGGATGTATCACAGGTGTACTGGTATTTTTAAAAGGTAGCTTGCTTTGATTATAAACTCCACAAGAAATATTAATGCTGAGAATTTTCTTGAATGTTTTATCCAAACCCAACTGTCACGTAATTTATATATAAATTTTAATACCATTTAATCAAAATTGTAATCAGTATCAAAATGCTTTAAGTCTGTGTTTCTAGTATACCTGTAAAGTGGTGAGATTGTGCCACATAAAATATTTATTTTTATTTTTGCTTATTTTTGAAACAGCTGTTTTAATTTAAACAAATCCCACTTAGCATGATTCTGAAAGAATTCAGGGAGTATGTGGTCTCATTTACATTACAGTAGTAATTTTTTGTAGTGTTATGAACTGTATCCTAAATGATAGGCCATTTTTATTATGTGAAAGTAAATCAGCCCACAAGAAAGATTGCTTAAATCGATGCTATCTGTGAATATTACACCTACTGGACTTCATTTTATGTAATGGCACAAATCTGACTTTGCACTGAATACCTTTCTCACTTTCATCTCCTCTGCCTTAGTCAAAATGGCAACAGTACAAAAACTTTATCAACCTCAGAATTTATTAGCTATAATTAAGCTGTTGAATGAGTCTTAAAAAAAATAGAAAAAAAAAAAAATCATACTACTGTTAAGTGGACCAAGTTTGGTGAAGGAGAATGTGAGAGAATGATTAAAGAAGGAACAGCTCAAGAACATTGGGAATGATAACTTTCCACTTGAGAACTTTTTTATGTTTTACTGTAATTTGTTTGTGGTTTTGGGTTTTATTTTTTGTTTTGTTTTGTTTTTGTTTTTGTTTTTTTTTGCAAAAGAAAATAGTATTTACAGGTGGCTTCTTTTAAAATAAAAAAATATAAAGCAGGAACGTATATGAAATGTCAGATTTTATTGTATTTGCAGAGTATTAGCTTTGAAAATGAATAAAGAGAGCTGTTTGTAGTTTTAAAATGCCTTATTAGTATCAATTAGATATTTTCTCTATTTTTTGATGTACTTAGAGCTTTTTAAGTATAGACTTTAAAATGGCAGGACTTTTACAGTGTTTACATGCAAGTGCATTTTATAAGTGTCCTATATGTGTAAAATAGTATTTCGAACGGGAAAATGCTGGCTAAAGTAGCAGGCTGAGCGTTTTCCTGGTTCCCACGATGATGCCTACGTTGCTAGACTACAGTTTAGTATTGCTTTGTATCATGAGGCCAAGAAATTCCATGTTGTTTGTAAATAGAATAAATGAAAGGCAATAAAAAATTTATTGAACAAAAACCCTTTGTTTGGCCCATAGTTTGTTGAACCAAATTGTTTCTCTAAGTCCAGAATTCCTTAGATGACTCCATTCTTTTAACAACCAGTTATTAATAATCACATCCATCATTAATAGTTGCTTTAATGCTTGCACCTGGGGAGGTACTAATGCTTAATAGCAGTCAGATACTGATGCTGTGCACTGACTGTTCCAGAAATCTTCTACCCAGTTCCAAAACTGTTCATCGTTTTTTGTTTTCCAATTTCCTTCATCGACTGCTACTAACCATTAGTCGTTAGTCGTATTTTATCTCTATTTCTCCTGTTAACCGGTTTTGTGGGAGCGGGCTTCTCCTTCACGTGTCCAAATCATGATGGAGGGCTGTCATGATTTTATTGCATTCTGTAGATGGTGTCGATCAGTATGTCAGAATTAAACATGCTTGGTTTTGTTATTAGTTGTGATTAGTTTTCATGTTGTCATTAAGCCGTCACTAGCTGGAACTAATCTCTTCTCTATCTTTTCTTTCTTTTTTTTGTTTTGTTTTTTTTGTTTCTAACCACCCAGCCGCCACCGGCAACTAACCTATGACCTTCTGACCTCTGAACTCTTCACCCAATGATGACCTGACCATGCCTGCCTGCTGATCAGTTAACTGGTAAACGCCTTTGCTTGCCTGTCTTCAGTGCAGCGAGCTGGGGCACTTGTCCGTTCGTCTTACCATCTAACAAAACAGACAAAGAAATTGTTGTCCTCCAACTCCGCTTTTTGTTGTTCTCCTGTTTGGGTGAAAGTGGTTCTAGAACCTGCACTGAATAGTAGTAAAGCAATAAGGTCCAACTCATCCCTCCGCACTGATCATCCTCTAGTGTCCCGCCCCAAGCGAACGGTAAGGAGGCCTAGCACGAGATGGAGACAGATGTCCCTTAACTACCCGATGACAGAGGCAGTTACTGTGAGAGACTTCTAGGAATATTTTTCTTCTCAAAAAAAAGAAAAAAAAAAAAGAAGTCAAAGCTCTCTCTGAATGTACTGTGTGATGATGCATCATGCATGAACCTTTGGTCAGGGATGTCATTGGGGAAGGGATTCCAAAAAGTATTCAAAATTTGATACGCTGTTTAGTCACTACCGGTGCCCTCAAAGGGCAGACGTTGCAACCTTTTTTCTATTGCCTGCCAAATTGGACGTTTTAAAGGAAAGTGTGCCATGAAATGCAGATTACGATGACTTTTCAGAACTACGTTAATGCAGAGAACAAAACAGCAACACTATTAAAGCAAAATCTGAGTTTAAATTATTTTAACCATATTTTAATCTCCTCAGAAGATTACATGAGAACAAGGTACATGCATTATGTGTCACATTACTGGGCAAACTGTTCAAATATTTTTTTTAAACCTCCCTGTATAGAAAAAATTTCATTAAGGATGTAAAAGCCATGCTTGCCTATTTGCTGTATACATGTAATGAAATTGTAGATAAAGTGTAGTGCATTGAAACAAAATGAACAAAAAAGTAGATACTTTTACTATACAAGGGTGCTGGTGCAGAAAAAAAATATATTTTTGGAAATGTAGCATTTTATACTTTCAAGTGTTATAAAAAAAGAAAAAAAGAACAAAGAAACCCTTTATTTCATTAAATGATTTTTTCTGGTGGTTGTCAAGAAACAAAAGACCAAAAGAGCCTTTTAGTCTTTCTTTTTTATTTTTTAAGTATTGGAATAAGTCTAAAGAAAAGGAAGTGCCTTATTTTCTTCATGGTCATTTAGTCAAATGTCTTGTATAATCAGCTTCTCCCTCAGACAAGTTACTGCATGCCACTCAGTCGCCCAGTATGTGAAAGAAGCTGTGAGGAAAGACAAATGATGAGTTGACCATATTAATTACCTGATTTTTGCCATACTGGTGTTATGTGACTTTGCCAAAATCTCATTACGTAAAATATTTGCTAAGTTTTTGTCAAACCAGCCCGTTGTTATTTCAACCACTCTACTTTTTAAATCATAGCAAATACCGTACTTGTGCAATGTAAACCAAAGGGTTCTGCGATACAAACTGTCTTATGCTAAATGACACTATTAGCTGACAAATGTTTGTAGAGCTGGAAGTATGTCATTTTTGTTCAGGGATGGAGAGGAGGTTTCTTGCTTTTGATTGGAATAAATATACATCAGATATAGTAGGCTTCGGCGTTGCCCAGAAAACTGACGTTCTGTGGATAATGAAATTGAAAGTGCTTAGGTAGTTTTCAGTTATAGTCTGAGCGTGTCCCCGGTTTTCACAAGCAGCTCCTGCAGTGGCAAACAGCATGCAAGTTATTTATTTTTCAGCTCTTCTTTGACTATTGTTAGATCTGCCAGCTGGCTTTTCTTCATAAGATAAGTAGGAGAGGGACATCAGCTAATTGTTTGAAGTCCAGCTATACTTTATCTTTAACCTGTATTTCCACATGAGATTTGTATCGCTGGGCAATTGCAAGAGCTGAAGCTGTTGAACGCACAGTATTTAATTCTGAAAACATTCAGTATTACTTCACGTGGGGCTCAGTACTAAACTTGGCAAATATCAGGTGATAACTTTATTCCCCTCTTGTCAACTTATTCTCCTCCTGCAAATCTTCACAGCTTCCAAATGAAAGGTCAATAGTAAGCTAAGAGGGCTTACATTTTTAAGCACCTGCATGGTGACCTCGTCTAACATCTTGTCTCACCTGGAAATAATTATCAGTTTATTTACTATGCAATAGACATTCATCCTTTTGTATTCAGCTAGCTTTTTGTTTATTGTGCCACCGGCTTTGTCTTCCTGTTACACATACAGTTGTGTTGATTTTACTTACAGTATATGCTGTGCCATTTTGATTTTATTTTGGTTGGTTGGTTGAATAAACTTGCGACACTCGAACATTTGAAGAGAGATTTGCTAAAACAATACCAGTATTTGATCCAGTTTCATCTCAACTATGATAAAACCTGGACATTTTAGATGTTTATCAAAGGTCTTTTACTGGGGGGGGAGGGGAAGTGTATGAAATAGATGTGTGACATGTGAAAGTAATGTTTGCTCTGAACAAACTTCTGAAAATTTAGTTGACAAAATTTTGGATCAACTTAAAAAAAAAAGCATGACTTTTGAAATCTCTGAATGCCTTGGTTCTCAGTATTATCATTCTTTAATGACTTTTTCTTTATTAAAATAAGTAGTTTTAAGACTTCTTTCTGACAGTATTATGTAATTTTTTTAGAGTGGGTAGATGGGAGTGTCGCTTGTATGTAACCGTACAGATGACATGTATTTGTCTATTCTTTATTATCTTAGTAGTTTCATGCTATGTATGTACCATAACCAACCTATTGCCTATGAGAAACATGTAAGATAATGTATTTACAGCCATTGTTACAAGTTTATAATGTATTTTTCTATCTTGTTTTATATGTATGTTATATAACATTCAAAAGAATTTTTTTCCTGATTGAGAAAAAAGGATACAAAATGCAAAACCCACAATTTTGATAACTGAAAAATTGCCAATTGTTTTGCAGTACTTTATTATATTGGGAGTGTTGTCTTTCTTGGGCTTTTAGTTAGCTACTGGATGAATACATTAGACATATTTGGGTTTTAGTTGGGTTTTTACATAGCTTGCATTTTAATTCTTTGGTTCTTTGCTGTTTCTATTAACCCATAGCATTATTTTAATAAATGTTATAATACCAACCTACTAACTCTGGACTATGTCTGTTTATTAACCATTACATGTTTAATTAAAATAAACAAATAAAGACGGAAGAATGTAAAGTCTTGAGTTACTGGACTAACCCTGAAGAACGTGACCACAGATAACACGTGACTTGTTTTTATGTTGTTTGTCGGCTGACATTCTGCACACTACTATTAAGTTGGCTTTGGTCATTCTGGCCTTTTACCTTGGGGAATAGGTGCCAGTAGAAATGGGAACAAAGTAGCATTTTTTTGAGGCATTCTTCTTGCAGAGTCTTGCCACTTGCCTTTCAGCATCTGCATTACTAATTCCACACTTTCTTTTTCTTTCTCTAAAATAATTACTGTCGGCTCACAGCAGAAGAGCAAAGATGCCAGTGTATTGGTAAACCGTGATGGTGTACAGAAACCAGTTTGATTCTTTGTTGAACCATTCAGAGGTTGCAGTTAATCTCATAGTAATTTGTGATTTCTTGGTTTTGGCACCTGATTCACTGTTGCATCATGTGACGTTTCTAAGCACAAAATACTTCTAGATAGAATTACTGTATTTCGAAATACAAAATCTGGGGGTTTTCCTTGCCAAAAGTGCCTTCTTTTCTTCATGCCACGCTTTTTTTAAGTAACTTTTTTTTGTACTTCTGCTATAGTCTATCAGTATTGCCTAGCTCAGGGGAGTACAATTTCTGTAAGCCAAAGGTCAAACTGGATCATTTCCTAATGACTGCAGAAAGTACAAAAATAACTCCTTTCACTAAATTACCAAGCAACCGCCATTTCAAATTCCAGGGCTGCCTTTATGTGATCTTTATCCCTGTGGATGACTGTAGCAACATGAATGCAGGGAATTGAAATGGTGAAAATGCTGGTTTGAATGTACATCTATGCAAATATTTTTACAGAAACGTTTCTCTTTCTTAAAGCTTCTGCTGTCTGAGGCTCCTTTACATATCCTGGGTCGTCCTCCTAGATTTGTAATCTTAAGTGGACAGTAATTACAGCTAATGTCGAGGGAGATCCTCGATGTAGATCACTCTTCAGATATCAACAGTTTTTGTGAAAGCCCAGTTTTTTCCTGTAGTTAATAAAAATTCAGATGAGGAGTCTTTGCATCTGTTCAAATGCCTTCTTTAATTTATGATGTTTCAAACTGCATATCTTGAAATCCAAGCGATATAAAACTTTAATTTTAAAATTTATCACAGTATTGGTAGGAATTAAAATAGAATGCTTCTTTGTTTTATGGAGGAAAAATAGTCTAGCGCTGATGAAGATTGTTGGGTTTTTTATGGCATGTAGCTCTTTATCTGTTTTACAAAAATGTATAGGTACAGCTGAAATATCAGTGCATTTAGAGTAGTTTCACTTGTACAGAAATCCTTTTAATTTAACAGATCATGAATATGTTACTATCCTAAAAGTCAGCCATGGGCAGATGATAAAAAAATCATTTACAATAGATAACATCAGGACCTTTTGATTGGATGATGGCACAAGTGTCATTTCAGAGCCAATAATTTATATTCCTAAAGAATTTTGTCAGAGGCACACATTTAAACTTGGTGAAGTACTCCCTCCAGGTGAAACTATTCAGATGGGACAAAAGATTAGTATTTTATATTGAAGAATACTTCTGTTCCCAGAACGACTGCTTTTCTGTAATACTTTTATTATTTTGCGTTTTTGTATGAACTACTGTCATACTTCGTCCACAGTGCATTTTCATCTCATTCTTCATTACATGAAGTAGTGAAAGTTGCTGTAAGTTTTGAAGTACTTTAAAGCTGAAGGACAGAAAAAAAAGGAAAACTCTCAAATCAAAATTTTATACTAATTATTGTTGTCCACCAAATGCATTTCTCAGTTTACCTAAGTGCTTGTCTAAAAATTTAACTCTTTTATACTCCACCTGCTTATAGGAAAGAAACGGGCTATTTTTAGAACTGAACTTGAGGATGGCTTCAACACTGCTACATCACTGAAGCTAGGTTGTTCTTTTTCTTTATTATTATTCTGGGGTTATATTGTCCTAACATTTGAAAGATCATTAGAGAGTTGCTGTTCCATCCAATAAAGGGATTTATCTTAGGGTAAATCTATTTGTTTTTCATAGTAGGTCAGAATATAAACTAAAACATCATAGAGCCTTTCAAAGTAAAATCTGAGCGATGCTATTCACTTTTAAAAAGTGAACTGTTGTACCAAAGTACAACAAATTCGGTTTCTCCGAGAGTATTTTTTTTTGGTGTTAGAGTCTTCAGGGACGTCTTTCAAATGTTTTTAATGAACATATGTTCAGTGTATACTGACAATATTGATATTTTATTTGAACATATCTTCAAAAAGTGTGTACAAAATCTGCATGTAATGAATGGTTTGTTCCCAGATTGTACTCTTTGAGGGGGACCACTAAAAGGTTTTCTGCCCTGAAAATGCAGGGAAATATTGAAATGTGTTGCCATCCATTAAGAAATTACTTTAACTTGGGGGAAACATACTTGTGCATATACGAAACTTAATTCTTTGTGTCTGGGTAAAAATAGCAGTCATCATAAATAGCGCATTGTACAGACTGAAATGTGAGTAACACATTCCTGGGGTTGAAAGTACATAATTGTTATTGGAATTTCTATTTTGTTTTTAATATATTTGGTATATTTTTCTAAAACACTATTAATGGAATACTGTCCAAATAACACATGAACCGTAACACTAACACGTGGTACTCAATGTTGAATCAAACTGGTTAACAAAAGTACGGTGCTCTTCCTTCTATGTGCCTGCGCACTAATTGCAGGTGGTATGGTTCTGCACAGGAGGTGGGAGTTGGGCACAGCAGGTTGCCGTGCTAATTTCTTGGTGCCAGCAGTTCGGTTGTCCGTCTTTGACAACAGGCTAACTGGGAGGACTCTGACTCCCAAGGCAAAGATTAACTGAGATCTGAAACTCCTAGAAGAATTAATTGAAAACACAGCAACAACAAAACAACATATATACATATATGCTTTGACTTGTATGATGGCAGTTTGTGTGAAACATCTAAGGTTTTGTTTGTGCAAAATAATGTATTCTGAGGAGAAAAACAAACATGGACATTGCCAAAACACATGTAAATAAAACACCATTTATGACTGTACATTATGTGCAATAAAGTAACTGGAAAAAGTGCATGTACTTTATCCTCAAAAGCAAACTGACAGCTCTCAAGGCTGTAGCTATAGTTTTATTTTCTGAAAAGTTAAATTTTATTCTGTATCTAAACAGCAGAATAAAGAATGTACATTTTTCACACTTCAATTTTCATTAATGCTTTTAGCAGTGTTATGAAAGATGTTAATTGTTGAAGAGGCTTAAATTTTCATGGTCATCTGATTACCAGGGTATATTTTGCTTAACAGTTTCTTATTGCATATGCTGTTGTTGTCTGTAACTGTAAATGAAGCAAGTATGCATTACATACCGTACGCATGCAATACACATTTTGAATATAGATTTGTGGATGCACAGATTCTATAAATTTCATAAAGATGACCAAGTGATTTTGATGTAACTGTACTTCTGTAAGCATCACTTGCAATTGTTTAGAGCAAATAAGGAAGAGGATTACTACTCTGTAGCAAAGCTAACATACTGGTTTGGGGTGGGGGTTCTGGTTACTACAGAAAATGAAGATAATAAATCTGTCACCCTACCTGGTATGAACCTAGTGAGAAACACACTTTGGGGAAGAAATAGATTATGGTGTTTTAACATTTTAATTAATATTTATGTGATGATACCTGGTTATAGTTTAAGACAATTTCTTTACCAAGGTATTCTTTGCTAAAAAGTCCTCCTGTTCTACACTGTTTAAATAAAAAGTGGTTTGCTTCAGAAGTAAGTGTACAATAGGTAAGGTTAAATGTGGTGTCTTTAGGAGTCTGGTGGAATAGGGGAGGGGAGGCTAAATAGCAGTGTTTAGGTACACTTTCTCTCCTTCACTCTTCCAGGAAGGAAGAAAAATTTGCCGTAATTAGCATTCAAAGATACCTTCTATGATGAGTCTCAACAAAGCGGTGGCTCAGTCATATCTGAGCTAGCTTTAATCTCGGTAGCTCATAGAATGTAGAGATGCTATTCAGCGTGTGCCACTCGAGAAGGTAAAGCAGCCCTCGACATCTTTGCTCTCACTCTGGATGCCAACACAAGCACGCCTGTGCGCTGCAGTCCTGGCTCGAAGCGTGGGCACAGCCTCACTTTCTGTGCTGTCTTTGGCTGCACTGTGCAAACCCTCTCCTTCATCCATCCAGACTCCTAGAAAACAGAATTGTCGTCATCTTCCTTGTTTCTTGCACCAGTCAGTAATGTCTGTCTATGACCATGTTCATGCTAGGAATTGCATTCATTGGTCTACAAATTGAAGTTAGGTGTGGAATTCAAAGACTGGAAAATTTCTATCAACAAACTTTACCCCTGTTCCACCAACACTTTCTGCGTAAGTGTTGTGGTATGTTTATGGAGGATAGCCTAATGTCACTAGATTTCTCCTGAATGTTTTTACTACAGTTACTGTAATTCCCTTGAGGAAATACAAACTTAACCATTATCTATGTCAAAATAATGAGTGGCCTTCATACCGAAGAGTGCAAAATGCAGTGTCTGAAATGAATGTCTTTCATTTTGACATTCAGGTCTACCAGCAAAAGTAGAAAGAGATATTATCCAATTGTTTTTTCAGTATCCGTATCAAGTTCTCAAATAGTTATAAATAGACAACTGACAGCCAGTTCCTGTTGAGTTGAACTCTTCTAAAAATTATCAACCACAAATAACCAGTAACTCCCCAAACAATACATTTTAAAGGTTTTGTTACAAAATAGCATAGCATATATTTACCTTTTTTAGTTTCTGTCACTGCATTTTCAAAGTGTTTTCACCTTCGGCAACAAACAAGGTTGACTACTTTGGATAGTAAACTGCATAAACTCAGAGGTGAGGTTCAAGGAAAAAAATACCAATAATAGCACACCTCTCACCATTGCACTATTTCAGCAGTTCATCAGTAAATGAAGGTGCTTTCTCTAAATTTATACATATTTGTAAACCCCTTATGCAGACAAGAGGCTAAGCAGAGAAATGACTTTTGTTAGTGGGACCTTTTCAGAATGAAATTCTCTTGATTTTCAGTTCACTGGGGGTGGCCTTTCTGAAACAGGTGGTACTTCCACTGCCTGAAGGTAGGAAGACCCCAGATGCTCTTGCCATAGGTCGGTCATTCAGCAAGCAATTGTCTCTGTTACTTCTGGTTTGCTTTCATAGTTTCTTAAATTATGAAAATGAAACCTCATCTTTTGTATCCAGTTTTTTTTGTGTCATGAAAGATGTATCAGTCTCTACGTTGTAGGGCAGTGTTTTAAAGAGGTATTTTTTAAACTGAAGTTATTACAGTAAAAAGGCGGGTTGTGTGAGCAAGAGTATTATGGGAAGCGTTACTATACAATAAAGGTACTAGGATCGCTAGTTTGGAGTCTCACTGTATTATGTGCATTAGAAATGCACAGCATAATAATAGTGTAATATTTATTTGTTAGTTGTGTATACCTTTCCAACTATGATTTCCAGATTCTGTTGTTTGATAATTTATAACAGTGGACAACGTGGTTTTCATGGGACTAAGAACATGCATTGTACAGTTCAGAGGTAGTGAAATGACAAGATACTGCAAATCACTCCTACGTAGATGCCTTTTCACGGAGCACAGCCTTTTTCAAAGGAAGGGTTTAAGGTCTTTGCCTCAGATGTTAGGTAATACATGGTAAAATTGTGATGCAGGGAGCATAATTTATTTGTTAGCCTACCTGTTAATCTCAAAAAGTTTAAACATCTGTTACCGATTCTAAGATGTTACTGCATGTTAATTGCCGTGGCAAAATCCATGTCTTACTTTCAACATGCGTGCAATCTGGAGACCTTCACATGCGTACTACTCTAGTAAATCTCTGGATCATTTAATGGTAAATCCAGTACTGCAGAGGGGGCCACGGGGCCATTACTTGCATCCTCTTGTGTGACTTTTCCCATATAACCTTAGCGTTGAGACAATTTTGATTCTTTCCCTGAAAGGCAACAAATGAAGCAGATCTTCAGCTTTGTTTCTAAGAGAAAATAGGAAATGTATACCTGTCTGGGCTGAAAGAAGATAAAGAATAACAATAATGCCAGAGCTTTGAATCGTGTCTTTAACAGATTAGTAACATTACTTTGTATGAGCAAGGAGGAGGAGACAAACCTAAGCAAGCGCAACATTGTCAAGAAGCCCATGCTATGTTGACAAGAAGTTCATCAGAGACTGTAGGCTGGAATTTTAAGTGGAGAAAATTGAAATTATCTCAGTCCTTGAAGAGCTGGTTTGCCATATCTCCCTGTTATCTTAAGCAAAATTGTTAATTTCTCTATTGGAAATCTTTCCCTTCTTCAGCCTAATTTGAATTTCATGTACTTTTCTTCTAAGGTTCTGCCCTGCCCCCTTCTGTGCTGTCTTACATTTCATAGACAAATTCTCCCTTCGTTAGGATGGCCAGGTGGTACAGTTTGTTCTTGGTATAGAGAAACTACAAGAAAGATTTCAGGTCTAAATCGGGATACGCAACTGCAAGATTATTTAGAAAGCCTGTTTTGAATATATGTGACTTGGTCGAAGCAGATGGAAGAGGAATGTCTCTATGACTATGGCACAAATCTAACTGGGTTTGAGATGCTTCCTTCATTGCTGATGATTTGTGCAATTTTGGGCAAGACTCTTGCAGCCAAACCCACAAAAACACAGTCACCGGAAGTGGGAATTAGGCCTTACTCAGGTGTCGAAATACGGAGTGTGATTACCTGGGTTTTCAACAGAAAAGTCCTTTTACGTTATTCCATAAAAGAGAACACCATCAACTTATCTTCTTTTGTCTGTTTTTAGCAACATCATCAACAAAAAAGAAAATCCCTGGTACCCAGCGACAGATACCTGCTTGAGTACAGCGGGTCTTGGCCTCAGACGTTAGGTCAATAAATCCCTGTCTTTCAACCACACCCACAGTAACTAGCTTAGCAGCCCAGCTGCTTTGGGTATGTGTCTCTCCCCATTTTCACATGCACAGCGTGTACGGTCGTAGTTTAGCCTTTTGCATTCCCCAGGTACCCATGAAGCAGCTCAGTTCTGTTTCACTCAAGTACCTTTGTTGCTTTTGTTCTGAATCTTTGTACCTCAGTTCCCCGTCGGTGAAATGAGGTTAATAGGAGTACCCCAGTAGAGTGTCAGCTGTGGATGACTGCATTCAAGACTGTAGAGTGCTCAAACAGTACAATGCTGAGTGCTCTCTAGTATCATAACAGTGTCCAAGCATCTTACGATCTTGAATGTACTTAAAAATAAAGCATGTAAGCAAAACAAAATACCTTTGACTTATTACTTAGTCAAACTCATGGTATAAAAAGATTGCACAATCTCATAGGCCAGTTGAGTCCTAGTCTCAGAGCAGATGATTACCTCAGTGGGTACCAGCAGTGCCAGAGACGGCTGTCTCTTGCTTTGGTTTGATTTGTGTTCATAACTTTCTCCATCCTGCAGGCTCACTGTGGATGGACTGAGCTGCATTCCGGTTTTTCACAGTTGGCAAGTCCGAGGAGCCGTGAAGGGACAGAGATGCAGCTGCGGGGAACAGCGCTGCTTTGTTTCTTCACCGGTGAAAGGTAGAAGAGGGGAGTGCCAATTGCACTTGAGACCCAGCAGGACAGGGAAAATGGGATTGTATTGCAAACCTGCTTGGTGGAAGTCAGAATTTCCTGGTGCAACACGGGAGACGGGCATGATGATAGTACTGGAGTATCTAACACACCGCTTTTACTTGTCGGATTGTTAGTATCATCAGACAGTAAAATACTAAGGTGGTTTAAATTTTCTGCTGCCTTTTGGGAAAATGCCTATCTGCTCCAAGAACCCTTTGGTGTTCACAGAGCCCACTGAAGAGTCCAGCACACAGATAGTCTCACTGATCTTTGTGTGCTGAGGTTGAACAGCTTTGTGCTTTTGACTATAGCAATCCTGATACCATTACAATACAGTGATGGTTTAACACGTGATGCCCTTTACAAATCTAGATCTGTTATA